ATAGGTGCAATAAACAGGATGTCCCATGACTTTGCCATGCCAAGAAAAGTGACTTAAGCATTGTAGAAACCAAATAACTGAATGAAGAATTAATTTCTTAGACGCTGTCTTTTTTCAGTACCGGTATTTTTTTCTCGAATCAAGCGAGTCTAAGCTCATGGTAGGGGTGCAGCACTCCTTCAAAGTAAACAAAGCCATCAGCTGGCACCTGCGACGTTGAGTAGGGTCCCAGCGATCAGGGCTCGCGTCGATACACGTCTCCACGCTTAAATGGCTCCGACTCCAGTTGTTATTACGAAATACTTACCACTCACGTTCGTAACCGATTGGAAGGAATAATGAACGAGTATCAACGTTTATTCGTGGCAAAGCGAGGGTTTTTTTTTCAAGGCGAGGCAAATTTAACCGCCCTTTTAGCACCTATACTAAGACGGTTTTGAATTGACTGTGAATTTTGACGCTCTTAATTTTTTTATTTAGCACCTTTATATCCCTTCGTGAGAACTGGGACTAATTTTATTATTCATGTAAAAGCCAATAGTGATGGTGTTAGTGGCTTTAACATGAAAATTTATATTAAAGAAGAGCAGACGAATACATTCTACATAACAAGAGTATTTAGTGTTGTGTTATTGAGTATAAAAAAGGTTTCTAGAGATCCAGATTTAGATGTACGATAAATATTATTTACGTAGTACTGTATGGCTAACGATAGCCCACGTCCGTGTCGTGGATTCCTAACATATTATAGCAAATGCATGTAAAAACGCTCCTTAATAAACTCACTTAAAACCGCATTCTTTTAGAATGTAGGGCGGGTGACGACCGTACTCCACGACAACGGCTAACTAGAGCCGAGTCTCAGAGGAGCCCTCTAGTTGAGCTGTCTTAGGCTTGAGTGGCCTATAGTAGTGGCACGCTATGATGGCCGTTTTGACGTTTGTGCACCCATGAAGTTTCATATTCGAAATTTAAAATCAGTTCTACATTTAAAAGACATAATTATAAGTTCTTCATTGTCATTAGAGACCCGCATTTAGTCATAAAATTTATCGAATCGGTAATTTTAGCGCGTAGAATTAAAATTTTACAAAACTATCTTATATTATATCATAACTATATAATATGACTCCGATAACCTTTTCAAATTAAAAGCATGCGAAACTTCAATAAATGAATAAAGTTTCGTGCATTAACCCATTAAAACTAGTTTTATTAAATGAGTGATGTGCGTGAAAACCTAAGAAACGAAGAAAGCAATTAAATATAGTATATATTTTAACATAAATACACCGGCCATTTGACAATGTTTAAAGGATTTAGGAAATTAATTTAACTAATTGTTTCTATGTTATTATCCTTAAGTACTGTTATATTATACACATAATAATATAATTATATTGTAATTAGGTGTCGATTCTGGCATGATTCTCTAAACTTAAAACTAAATTTAACATTCGATTGTCCTTTTTATTCTGTATAGAAAATTACAAGGATACACTGTTGTCAAATTTAATTTTAAATTAAGAGATTCATTACAGAATTGACATCAGATTAACAAAAAAAAATAAAAAAAATCAAATAATATTACAATTTTATAAAATAAATATCTTTAAATAATGTGGTAATTTTCTCCCGGTAGCGAGCGTTGGTGTCCGTATTTGCATAGCGTTCGTCGGGTTAAATGTAAAACATTAAATCATTAAGATCGTTGAGCTTCAGTAAACATTTATGTTTTCGTTTCAAACTTTATCATCAGTAACTTTTTTAACTCGCATTTGATTATATTTTTTTTTTTCGATAACAAGTTGACGTTTTCTTCACTATGACAATGTGTTAAAAGGGCCATCATAGCGTGCCGCGACTATTGTTGCTCAAGATGAAGAGAAAACTCTCCCTGAGGGGAGATACCATCCGCCTAGAGGCTCTCGCTAATTCCCGGCTTGAGGTCCACATACCTTTATCTAAAATAAGCTGTAAAGGTTAATGGCCGAAAGACTTTTGAAACGCGACGCCACCCGAAGCTTCGCGAGTTCGCGACGCATGTAGTGTCAAATCAAATGTACTATTTTCTATGATCAGAATCACATTAGGAACATCCGACGCGACGAGATATTAGATTTATAGACAGTGTTCGCATTTCAAAAGTCTCTTCCGGCCTTAATGCGAAAAAGCAGCATTCATACTCCCAACGTTTCTTAACAAGAGGCCTTTCGATACATGTGGCTCCTAGCGTCTTTGTAATCACTCACTTATTGGGACAGGTAACAGACGAGTGGTGAGATGATGCTTGGAATCACAAGCGTATTAATATAGACTGTTACTTACCATCTAGTCATAGACAAAGTAGAGGACGCATACCACGCTCTGTGGGAGTGTAAGCTCTACGAGGAGGCGCGTAGAGAACTTCAGGACAGTGTGAAGGTGCTCGAGGTTGGGCCGGTCTACTATCGCGACCTTGTGGGATCGGAGGCGAACTTCAGACAGCAGCGGGATTTCGCGCGTAGATGGCACAGAATTCGGAGTGGACTCGAGAGGCGAAGAAAGAAGAAAGGACCGTACAATTTGGAGCCAGCGGTACCACTTCAGAGTGGGCACGGGTGGGATTGTGACGAAGGCGTTTCGTATACGTCCGCCCCAGAAAGGGGAGAGGGACCACATGGACAAGGAGATAGATAAAGAATAATTTGTAGGGAGTCAAGAAAGTAGGACGATGGAGGCCATTCCGCGCGTATATCCCGCTGCTTCGGCTTGCATAACCAAGAAGGTTCGCCAGGCCATGGGTGTTTATGACGCAGAAGGAGGCAGCGGAGAGGGAGCGGGAGGAGGACGCTCTAGCCCTCCCTCTCCGGCGTAGACGGGTGGGCCGAAGAAGGCAGGCAGCGGTGACTGCCGGTCTTCGACGGCCCTAAGGTGGTCTGGGCGCGGCCTGACCAGCCGCGCGTCCTAGGTGCCGCTCTGGCATAGGCCACCACGTCTGGGGACTGCCTAGTATCCTAGCGCAGTCCCCCTGAGGCGCGTCGCCCGGTCCACTCGTTGGGCCGGGCCTGCCCGGGGGCGTGCTCGGAGATGTGGCGCACGCAGGTGCGTCGGCCCCGAGACCGCCCCCATATGGGCGTAGGAGGGTACCGGGGGGTTTTAGTGGAGTAGCATCAGTGTGGCCTTCCGCACTGGTCCTGCTTGAGTAGGGTCGGCACTGTTTCCCGTGCCGGCGAGTCCCACACACGCCGTGCGCCTAGTCAGCGTCACGGTATGGTGCGTAACTGCATTTCCCCTCATCACAAAAAAAAAGGTCATGGGTGTTTAGTGGGATTTGTTACTTACTATCTCTTATCTCTCATGCTAGTTTGATGCCATATTCGTATAAGTAATATTAAAATTAATGACACCCCAAAATGGTGTCGATGTTAGAGTTGGATTTCAGAATCGAATAATGTGAGCCACTTGTATGATATAGTGAGATTCATTATAGGTATTCAAAATCATTCAATTATTTCATCATCAACCTATTAATGTCCCCACTGCTGGGGCGCAGACCTTCCCTATGGATGAAATAGGAAGTTTTGGGCAATAATCCATCATGCGAGCCATGTGCAGATTGGTGGGGGCTAACGACTGCAGATGCAGCCGGGACCACCGGCTTAACGTGCCTTCCACAGCACGGAGGAATTCAAGATAATAAGTTTTGGTCATCCATCCAATGACCGGCCATTGCGAAAGTTGCTTAACATCCACGGTATTATGCCAAACGCGTTAACCGCCTGTGCGATCGAGCTTCTCATATTATTTATTAATCATCACAATGAGTTTTTTGTGTCTCCTACTTAACATAAATCATGCCAATAATGGGGCTCATTATTATTTATTATGGATTTCACACTGTTGCTGCCTTTGCTGTTTTTGTCATTGGATAGTGAGCCGTCTACTGGTAATTGCTTTTGGAGTCTTTAGGTACTATTTATAGGTAAATGATGGCTCCTTATAAAAGTAAAATGAGCCTTTTTAACCGAAACCCAGTAATAGGTAAGCAACTAAAGCCACAATTTTCCGACAATGCCAATCACTCTTATTATTTTTTGATAGTTATTTATTTAAGTAATAATTGTTTCTGGTCTTTTTTTTACTTGTCGAACCGTGTATCGTTAGCATGTTACCGTTCTCCCACACTTGGGAGACGAAGCTTTGACTACTTATTGCGCTAAAATTAGTGACCAAATTTTTGCCGGTGAAGCGTGGTTTTATGCCTGCACATACAAATTTGTCATGCCAATCAATCTCTCGTCTAGCGTCTATCGTCACGCAGCACGATAATTCGTAACGAAAGAACTCATTAAAATTTATATATTTTAGCGCACTAAGTACCATGCAATAAGTTTTTTGGAATGAAGAGATTTAAAATAATAAATACATATTTCTAACGTACACACCAATTAGCTTAGCCCCAAAGTAAGCGCTGTAAGGCTTGTTTCATGGGATAGAAATGTAACAGACAGAATTCATATTATACTGATTATATATAAGTACTAGCTGTCCCAGCGAATTTCGTACCGCCATAAAAAAATAGGGGTTGGTGGTAGAAGGGCAAAAATTTTGGGTTATATTTATTTTTGTATGATGTATCATAAAAAAGTAAAATAAAAAAATATCTAACATTGAAAAAAAAATTTAGTGGTGGATTACCCTTAACATTTAGGGGGATGAAAAAGAGATGTTGTCCGATTCTCAGACCTACTGAATATGCATATAAAATTTCACGAAAATCGGTCGAGCCGTTTCGGAGGAGTTTAACCACAAACACCGCGACACGAGAATTTTATATATTAGATATTTTTATATAAGCATCCATGACTCAGGTACAAATGCTCGTATTCACCACACAAAGATTTGACCCACGGAGATTCGAAGAGCTCTGTGTAGGCGCCACCTTGTAAACCACTCGAAACTTGGAGGTCGTCAAAATGATTTTTATGATTTATACCCATATTTTTTTTTTGTCACAGATCATTGGTCGTCATTTACGCGAGCAAAGAGCTAGGAACAAGAACACTGCAGTGTCCCTCCTAGACTGCGCTCTGAGAGGGGTGTCCGCTCTCCCGGCGGCCTCAGTGGCGGAGCTGGCCGGGGTAGGGCTCCACGGGCTGGTAATATCCTCCGGAGACATAAGGCGGGTGCAGCAGGGCGCCTTCAATAGTATCGCGGGGACGTTACTGGCGCTAGGTGAGATGCGACTGACTGTTTCTTGAGATTGATGTTATGATTGATTTTGATTTATTTATTTATTTTAACTGATGCACGCAAGTTTACGAAGAATAAGAAATCCATATTTCAGACAAATACTATTGTTATGTTTTTATTTATTTTTTAAGCATTTAACTGCTAGATGTTTAAATCTAAAGAAAAGTTTACTAGAAAAAAATCCACGCGAACCAGGCAGCGGACGGGACTCGAACCCGCACCCTTCGCAATCCGGGCGAATGCGGCCCTATTCGCCGCGTCGAAATTTTCCTAGCCTTAAGCTGCAAGGCAGCGCCATCTCTTCGCATTGTAGGTAACCCATATAAAAACCCGTAAATACTTTTATTTTTTGTACGACGCACAACGTATTACCCCATCCCACCTATTAAGTGTTATCGAGTCCAGTTGCGTAGACAGATGATGCGGCTAAATGTGTGCCGCACCAGTTAACCGTACCTTCCTAGCCTGTGCCCAATCTTCTATCTTACTTACCGACAGAATCACAACATCACCAAAAGATACCATCACCATTCTGGTTTCGTTTCCAAATCTTTCACCATTACATCTATACGCCTTTGGAATGCTTTGCCATTGAATATTCGCAGTAGTAAGTAGGAGTTCAAAAAACTAGTGCATGCACACTATCTGACCACCTAATATTTCTCTAGTGTGCAGTTATCTGTGGCATCTTATATAGTTATTTCTAACTTATTAAGTGTATGTAGGTATATAATTATATATGTACTAGCTGACTCGGCGAACTTCGTACCGCCCAAAAGTAATAATTTGCAATAAATTAAAATTGCGACTATAATTTGAGATTTAAACTATCCTATCTCTCAAGTTGGATCGAATTGCACATGGTGTGCGAATTTTATTATAATCGGTTCAGTGGTTTAGGAGTCCATTGAGGACAAACATTGTGACACGAGATTTATATATATTAAGATGTTTATTAATGTGTGTTGTATGTGATAAAAAAAATATATGTGTATTTGTATTTATATATATAGGAATATTATATTTATATACACATATAATACATATTTATCGCTTATAGTATAGATATGTATGATATTTTTTTTCTCTAAATTTAGTAGCTCGCACTCTATCGCCAAAACATCCGTCTCATACACCCATACTGGTTGACTGGTAGAGAATGCCTATGGCAGTAAGTCCGCCGTTTACTGTATTTTGGTAATAAATAATAAATAAATAAATAAATAAATAAATAAAAGATAGTGTTATTTTACTCTGGTCTTCTCTAAGGTGAATGTTGCTTCCCTAGACAGGCGCTCCAATTCCAGCGGGAAATCCGCTATTCCCTACCTATCTTACAAGAAGACTTATATATAATACTAGCTGTGCCCCGCGGTGTTACCCGCGGCTTATTAGGGAAAGTAATTGGGTATTAGCAGTAAAAACAATGACTATTCACATTCTTAGAAGCAAAATAATTTAAACTTAAACATCGGAAAGATCAATTTACAAAATTTGATAACTGACAGAACGGGAGAGATGATTATGCTGTCTTATGTAATTGTTTTTTGTCTCGGGTCGTAGAGCGAGACCTAGAAATCATTTTACTGCAGCACATCCCGGTAAACCACAATGCGGGACTTATTGTTTTCTGCGTAAATAAAATGTGTTTCTTGCTCTCGACACACGTGAGCAACCCACTTTCAGTTGTCCGTGGGAAAAGCAGGGGGTGCCCAGGTGAATGACTGCTACTTTTAGAGTTTGTCCTTGACTTTTATTTACTGTAAAAAAAAGAGAAAGCCACGTTTATAGGAAATTGTAGGCGCTTGAACTGGAAGGGTAAGTACGTGGGTATTATAGGGGGTCATGGCCCAATCTCCCTATTCCATCCATAGGGATATAGGCCTGTGACCCAGCAGTGGGGACATTAATAGGCTGATGGTGATGATGATCCCTTGGTATCGGCGAGCAATGTCTTCTGACAAAGCGCTTTTTATACTTGTACCACAATTGCCGGGGGTTGGAGAGTCCGCAGGTGCTTATCATAATCGCAAAGAGCTCTCTCAACGTAGTCGCTGACCGGCACAACATTGCGCACTTCATCGTTGCGTCCCAGTGGCCGTCGTCTTCAAGCAGCTTCATCGCCTCACATGCGTCTTGAAAAGTGGTCTTTTCCTGCCCATCGACGATTTTGAGCGCTTGAAAACTGGCAGGACCCCGGATTCTAGTAATAGCAACAGCAACCGTACACAATAGCACTCAAAGTGTGTTATGTGTACGGTAAAATTTCTACCGTAGGCATCTAAGGCTTTCACACCAGGCCAACCGTCGACGGGTGCGCCCTGCACGCAACGTTCCATTGTTTTCGTGACGCATTCCACGTGCGAGCAAACTCGTCTTCCTGGCACAGTTGCTCGCTCCATACCTTGAATGATTTGACACCGTTTTTCAGTTTCCCATAAAATACACCTGTAAAAATTGTGGATGTTCATTAGGTGATCATCACCCATTTTGTGATGTAGTTGGCCATGCACTGTGAACGTTGGGGAAAATCCAGGCATTGCAATAAGGACAATGGCAAAATATTTGTTGAAGTAAATCTATAGCGTCTATAGATGTCATTATCAGAAATGTTAATAAAATAATCTCAAAAGATTTATTAAACAATTAAGGAGGGTTGTCTAAGTCTGGAATTAAAAACTTAAAAAAAGGGAAACACAATTGACTATATATTTTTTATTTTTATTGTGGCTTGGCCATGATGGCTTTTGAACCATTCATTTTAAGTGATTTTAGTGATGAAATCAACTTTAAATATGTTGTTCTTATGTTTTGCATCGCTTTACGCTAGAACTGTATTTAATTATCTATCAAAAATATCGGGAAACATTACTTTTCAATATTATACTGAAACCATATTAAATAATCTCCACAATACAAAAAGAGTATGGTGACAATTCTAACGAAAAAAAACTATAACTGTCACTGTCATGCTTGTCATCGAATTGTTGTTGTTATTATTGTCATTAAATAACATTGTTTGTGCTTAGGTGCATATTGCAAAGATTTCAATCGGCGTATTGTGTTTTTCTGAGAAATGTTTTTTATGTGACTTGGACTGTATTTGGACTTTCGAACTCTTTCTCTGCGACTGTTGAGTAGTGCTTGCCTAAGACTTCCGAATCTGTTATTTTGCTGTGTATTTTGGACACGATTCTGTCCCATACTGTGGATTTTATTTCATTGTATCTACTATCTACGATATTGTGATCAACGATGTGGAATAAAAAATATATAAAAAGTGTTGCATATTTAATTAATATCCCATTAGTACATTATTAGAAATCCTTTTTTATACTTTATTATTGCAGTGGACATTTTCAATTTGTTAAGTATTTCTTACAGCACAGACATTGTATTTGAACTCAATAACTCTTGTCTGATAATAAGTATTTTGACGCGGTTGGTCAGTACCTACGCCAAAGAAAGAAAGAAAGAAAGAAAGATAGCCAACTGATCATACATTGTAAAAATCATTTTTTTTCGTCACTAATCTTCAGGACCGGTATACTTCTATAGTTCCGTTCCACGTATTTTTTATTTTGATATAAAAATACTCTTGAAATAACTTTTATAATTCGTTTTTGCATTACTTGGTAGGACAAAACCTCCAAAACTTCAAAGTAGAATATCTTTTAATCCGGACTTCCTATAATATAAGAAATAAGATGAATCAAATCAAGAATGTAAACTCTATAATTTAACATGCAATTCATTTATAGACGCAAGAAAAAATTTCAACAAAAAATTGTATGGGAGTTCGCCATTGCCCTTTGTCCGCCCCGAACGACGACATGTAAAAGCATGGGTTGTACGCAGTTTTAGAACCGTCAAGATTCATCAATTTTACCTGTAAATAATGTATTTAAGGGTTCCACAGGCTCTTCTAAAACAGGAATGGCTACTTTGCCCCCAGAGCAACACATTCCCGCACTTTCCTCATTCCATTTTAATGCCCCACAATGGTGACACACATTTTCCATACGGCAAATTTTAATGAGCCTGTTGCTATTGTAATCCAATGTCAAGTCATATTCAAAACCACATTTTTCAAATAACCCCCAAGCATTTCTGGTAAAGGTTTGCCGGCACTCTCCTTGATGCTGAGCGTCTGCGAGTCGTCTAGAATTTCTCATCTACTGTCTCGGAAGCACGCGGATTAGACATTAGGCTGGGCATGATTTAGCCTTCGAGAAGTTTCTTCATCAGGCGTTTCAATGGCACACTGAGTGGACATACGCTATGCGTTTTCTTGATGCCAAGTAGCTGCTACTTCAGGTGTCTCTAATGCACGCTGATTAGCCATAAGCTGGGCATGCTCTCGCCGTCGAGAAGTTCCTTCATCAGGTGTTTCAATGGCACGCTGAATGGATAACGTTGTGCGTTTTCTTGACGCCGTGTAGCTGCTTCTTCATGTGTCTCTAATGCACGCTGATTAGCCATAAACTGGGCATGCTCTCGCCGTCGAGAAGTTGCTTCATAAGGTGATTGATTGGATCACTGTGTGGCCATAGGCTGTGCGTTTTCTTGACGCGGAAAAGCTGCCTCATCATTTGTGTCTGATGCACACTGAGAAGCTATGCGGATAGGATTTTCCAGACGCCGAGCATCAGCTTGCGCAGAAGTTTCTCCAGTTCTGACTTCTGCCTGACGTGTTGCTTGGTCACGTCTGCGCTGTTTAGTATCATAAGTAGATTCTTGCTGTTTTGCAATTTTCATGGATGAAGCTTTTTGTGATCTCTGTGAACGATTTGGTTTACAATTGGGAGTCATAATTAGATACACAAAAAAATACACAAAAAAATTATAACAATATCGTTGTCCTAGAAATATGTATGAAATATTTATCTATCAAAATAGCTTTGACATGAATGTCAAAAAATATGTACCTACTTAAACAAAATTCATTTGCATCGATTTTCCCATCGAAATAAGATATTTTCCCGCAGTAAAATGTAGCCTATGTGTTAATCCAGGGTATCAGCTAACTCCACACCAAATTTTATTAAAATCGTTCCAGCCGTTTAGACGTGAAGAAGTAACAAACATACACACTCACATACTCACAAACTTTCGCCTTTATAATATTAGTGTGATTGTTACGGATCAGGATGGGCTTCGAAATTATATGCCTGTTCACGCTTGACAGTACTTTATTAACAACACAGTTCACAAAGTTAACACACAATGTTAATCATAATACACTCACTTAACACTTTACAAGTCCTTAAGAAGAGCACTTGTACACTTTACTTGCACTTTGATCTCTTTGGTATTCATTCCGAAATAGCTGTTGAAACTCAACTGCCTTTACGCGGCGCCAAACGTATTTATATACACCAATCGATGCATTCTAGAAGAGTAGAGTGAAAAGTCTTGTTAAATTGAGAGTTAACTAGCACCCGCGAGTGCGTAGTAACTAATTATACCGTCGTCAGTACGGCGCATAAGTTGTAAACAAGTGCAGATGTCGTGGCACTTTCTCTCTTACGGTGCACTGCATAAGGCTCTTATTAGAATGAGCCGCACCACTCGACCTTTATTTATCGCGATCCGCGGTGTTCTGGTAAATTCTGTCTCTAGTATTTTCGCGGTTTTGTTTCGAGAGCGTTTGTGACAGTATGAATGTGGTTTATAGCTAGATCTTAATAATGTGTTTTACTGAAGGAATATTATTTTATTGGCCTACCTCTGAGGAGCTCGGCTAGCTGAGGAAAATAATACTTTTTGTAATGGCTGGCAAATAAAATAATAAATAAAATGAATGAATCTGTAATTTGTAAAAAATAGAGGATGAAATTATGAAGACAAAAACGCCAATTATTTAAAGAAAACGAAGTGGCTAACACTCACTAGTTTAAATATAAAATTGATGACCAAACATGTAGTTACTAGGGAATGTTTTTAGCAAGTATATGTTTAACTCCATGCATTTAGCAAAACAAGATCAAATCGAAGTCAAAATTTATGTAAACCAAACAATATGATAATGTCATATTGTGTACCTATTAAATTATACAGATAGCAATAAAGATATGAATAAAACCACTTACTTTACCTTTTTCAGGTTTACCGAATAATCAATTGCCTTCAGTCCCCACGGAAGCTTTGACTCGACTTTGGAATTTAGATCGATTGGATCTGTCCAACAACAAGATCCATACCTTAGACTCGAATTCTTTTAAGGTAAATATATAAAGGACTATGTATTTAATATTTTGTTCTTTACATTACGAAATTACTTGTCCCTTATTTGGGGATTGATCTCTTTGTGTATGTTTTTCTTGAGCGTCATCACCTTGAGTGTCTATAGAAAAAGGTATTTAATAAAAATGCATGCTCCTTCTTATTTCATTTATCAAATTATTGTCGCTTCTCATTCGATGAATTGGAGACAAACCTGCAAAGAGTCATAAATAAGAAAAATAAACACCTTTACCATGACAAATTTATTAAAAAATTGGGAGTCCCCGATAACAAAGGCCGATTGTTCAAATCCAGCATACTCCCAGGAGCATGTTGATTCTTGTTGTAGACTATAATAATATAATCTTTTATTACAAAACTCCAGCAGTTAAATGCACAAAATTTGCATTGACAGACTCAAAAAGTGTTTAATTAATTTCAGGGCATTAAAAATTTAACATACTTAGACATAAGTGACAATCAGCTGACTGATATATCTTCGGATGCTTTCAAACCTCTGATCATGCTAGCGGTTCTCAGGCTACGCGGCAACCTTCTGAAAGTAGGAGCTTTGGTTTCTTTAAAGGTAAGGATTATTGTTTAGGAGTCATCTTTTTGTTTTATTTCGCTTGTTTATACAAAATTTAGTATAAATAGATAAGTGCTTTGATCTGCAAAGTTACAGTAACTATTCTTTAACAGTATTTTTTTTTTAAATTCATATTGCTTAAAGCTACTAGACCAAGGAGTTTTTGAAAAAAAATAGGACCACGTTTTACTGATGGTTGAATTTCCAAATTTTTTCATGGTACCAGTGAGTGAAAAAAATGATTTTAATATGAATATTGCATGGTGATTTTTTTTTTAAATTCTTTAATTAAAATTGGTTAGCACCCTTAGTTTTTAACTTTTAATTATTGCTGACGTTCATACTTAAAAAAATATTTTAAACTTACCAACGATTACATCGGTAACATTTATAGTAAATATATTATTTAAATTTCATATTTTTAAAAGTAACTTGGCACCCAACATGTTGCTCAGAGTGACACGTTTGGGCGCCAATGAAAAACACGAACTAACACACTCATTAAATCCCACAAAAGGAAGCCCACGTGTTGAGAGACTTAGACCTCTCGAGCAATGCTCTGGAGGGCCCGCTCGGACCATCAACAGTGCCCCCTCTAAGCTTCTTGACCAACCTACAGTTATCCGACAATACTTTCGCCAGTATCCGACGAGGGGCTTTGTCAGGTGAGTGCTTTTATTTCCCGTCGTCCCTCGTGAACGGAATTGGATACAATAGTTCTCGAGTGTCGTGCAATGTGTTGACGCATTGTGTTGAAGTTAGTTTAGTTCCTTAGAACTATTTATTGGAGTTAGACTTGGTTTTGTGCCATTGTAAAATATTGAAAAACTTGATGTAAGTCTTTTGAAAGTGCTTATTCCATGTACGAGCGTTAATGGACTAAATTGCAATGAACCTTAATTGTATATTATTATAATATAGGCAAAGGTTTTTGGACTTTAATCTGGATTATCTTAAGTATAGTTTATTTAATAAAATGTATCTTACATCTACATGAACTATTATATTACCATTAAATACCAAAGAGAGAAGATTTAGATAGCACCTCTTCGTTCATTATTCTTGACTGTAATATTGAATTTCAGGTTTGATAAATCTTACTCACCTAAATCTCCACAACAACCAAATCGATGTTTTAGAAGACTACGCTTTCCGTCATCTCATGAACTTGACCCATCTGGATTTGTCGCATAACGAGATCGTTGCTGTATCAGGTAAAAATTGTGTCAACCTAAATTCTGCTTTTGAAGAATTATGATGAATGTAACACAAAATAGGTGCCTATATTGTAAACTATGTCTATGATTTATGATTTTAAACGTGTTTCTCCGGCACTCTGCTTATTATTGAGATAGGTATTACAGATTTACAGACAGCATTAAGGTCGATTTACCTACAGAAGATTACTAAAGTTATACGAGTAATAAAAATATCTTTCTAAGAATCTGTTTACCTAGGTAATGAAGTTCAAAGAATCTTGTTAGTAATGATAAAGCTTCAAAAAGCGCGCTAACTGAAATTAAAATTTAGGAGGAAGATTTCTTGTCAAATATTTGTTCCTAATTAAAAGAAAAAGTAGGTACGTTTGGTATTTTTAAAATGTTTTTTTTTTTTGAGAAACTCGATGGTGTAGGTGATTAGTGCGTTCGGTCTGCGATCGCGGAAGTTAAGCAACTTTCGCAATGATCGGTCATTGGGTGGGTGGCCAAATCATATTTTCACGAACTCCTCCGTGCTTCGTAAGGTACGTTTAGCCGTTGGTCCCGGCTGTATCTGCAGTTGTTAGCACCCACCGATCCACACTGGGCCCGTTTGGTGGGTCATTGCCCAATCTCCCTATTGCAACCATAGGGAAGGCCTGTGCCCCAATAGTGGAGATTTTAATAGGCTGGTGATGATGATGATGGTGAAATATTATTGTACGCATTAAGCGATGAAATAACTACATATTTGATACAATTGGAACACCGGCCTTTAGAAAATGCTTAAGTTTAATAGCTGGCTAAGCTTGCTATTTACTCTGACAAAGGTTAATTGCCATCATTATTTCACCGGCGTAATTGGGCTTGTCGTAGGGCGGCGAAGATCAAATGACTAATTAGTTCGAAAAAATATGAGAAATAAGCTTTAAGGAAAAACATTCACAATTTAATTTCCGGTAGAAAGACCCAGAAAGAGGGAACAAGGGACGTGAAGCTGAAATTGAAATCGATTAGATTTATCTTCATTTACTTTCTCTTTGCAGTATTATCTTCAAATAACTTTATTGTAAGTGTAAATATAATCTTAATAGGTAGCCGTAAAAGTACATTAACCCTCTTTTGAAATAAGCCAATAAACTTTTCCTAATACAGAAGTTGTCAGGTTTCAGAAGTCTCTAAGGTACGGTGGAATTGCTTTTCATGTAGAAAAATAACTATAAATCAATTTTCTGGGTCTGTACTCTTAAAGTTGACTTTAGATACTCGTATATCGTGATCGCCGTCATGTTTTAACTTACATATGTTTGTTATGTGAGACACGATATGACTAACCAATTGTATCCTGTTTCCGGCTCCAAACGCTTCAAACGCTCAAATAAGACCCTCATTCTTTAATCAGGTTCAAGCATGTTTATTTTAAAGGTAGTATCAGTTCCTTATGGCGACCAAATTAGAATTTATTTTCGGACCTCTTTTTTTACTAGAACGAAAGTGTACTTTCATCTCTTAACTTAAGGATCTGACACGAGCTCTTAAGATCGTATTCTTTTATCAGCCGCACTTTAGACAGTTTGCTCTTCAACAGGTGCATCTCTTGCGCAGCTAACGAATCTAGTGCAGCTGGATCTGTCGCACAACTTTCTTCGTTCCTTGTCAGCTGAGCCTCTGAAGTCTCTACGAAGTCTATCCGAGTTATACCTCCACGATAACGATATATCGATGATTGATGACGGCGCCCTGGCCCTGCACAAGGAGTTGGGGCGGTTCACCATCGAAGGTAATGGTGATAGCATGATAAGCGATTTGATTTGGACACACGGCTCCTTGGAATGTATAACATGATATTATATTTTGTATGTTTCTTAGATTTTCACGCACATCACTCATTAAATAAAACAAGTTTCAACGGGTTAGATGCACTGATTTTATTTATTTATTGACGTTTTGCAGCCTTTGCAGGACTGCGTCGTCACAATAATGATTTTTTATTTAATGATATATTGCTTTAAACTTTCATGGTCATTAACATTATAGTAATTTATTTTATGAACGGAATTCCTACTGTGTACCTTGTTTATTGCGAGTTCCCGATATTTCGGCACTGTTGAAAGCGCCATGATCACAGAGTAATGGGGAATTGTAAAAACAGGTACATGGTAAAAATCCCGTAAATAGCAGTAGCGGAGTCCAAGCGGTGATTTTGAGATTACATGAGCGTGGTAGTATATTCATATTCATTCATTACACTTATTGTTATTAAATTCGTGGAATGTTTATAGTTACCTATTTGGCATAGTTTTCGACTTCCACCTGTGCTTATAAAAGCCTAATCTGAATAAAGGATTTTTGAAATTGAATTGAATTGAATACCTATGTAGGAAACGTCAGGGGCAACATTAAAAATCTGCAAGTAGCTGCTATTCAAAAGACAATTTGGACGCGACCAAAAGTCATGGTCGTTTGTTGAAAAATTTTTTGCTGCCCTAGACGTTCGACCCCATATAAAACGCTCGGGTAGGAGTATTCTCAAGGTGCAAGTTTATCCCCCCTTATATTATTCTGCCGCGCTCGAGTAAATCCCAAAATCCCCGCTTGGGCTAATCAACTATAACAATGTTGTAAGAACATTTCATTGAAAAGGTAAAATAAATAATAATATTCTTTATTGTATAACACCACAAAGGACATAAAAGTAAGATTACACTGAAGGAGAATGAATAAATCTTATTGCTAAGTAATGAATTCTATGTAATGTGAGTAATTGCTTTTTGAGATTGCGTTAGTTGATTAGATACCTACTTAGCGAGTTAACTATAACTTGAAGTGAGGACTGTACTACGCCGTCGCACGGATCCACACGCAACCTACAAGCTCTCCAGACATAAACTTGACGTTTATGATCTGCGAGACTGCCTGGCACCACCGTGCCAGCGACGACTGCCTATCTCCAAGCCGCAGGCCTGAGCGCGCCGTGAGGCGCTGCTCGGCCAGGATCGCGTAGGCGTAGCCCCCATCCACGCATCATGAAAGACTCCGACCATCCGCTCGACTCAGACGACGTGTACAACATCACACACTTCGGTACCGCGGTGTTCGGGCTAAAGTCGCCCCGCGTCCAATATGAATTGGACGCAGCGATGGCGGCCCGACTCCTGGACTCTGGGCTGTTGTCTGAGAGATTGGAAGACTGGATCTGGTGCTACGTCCGTCTCCTCGAGATGGACGAGAGCTCCACCTACAATTACCGCCTCGGTGACCACCTTGTCATCCAAGACAACAAGAAGGTCATCAAAAAGCCGCTCACTTTTCCGCCGCCCCGAAACATAGACCTGAAGCCCATCAACGGCAAGACGCCTAAGCCAGAAGAGAGACAACCGCGCAGAAGGCGCTCATGCGACCCGCGCCTCTGTCGCTCCCGCAGCTGCGGTGACGCTCCCGTCACGATGACGACGCCACTGCCCACTCCGAAAGCCAAGCCGAAGCCCGAACAAAAACAAGACGCCGTGCCCGCCCCCGCTGCCCAAGAAACTGCTTTACCGACACAGAAACAGTCGGTAAGCTACGCCCAGAAGGCAAAAGTTTCACATCTACCCTCCGATTCACCGAAAATCGAAAAACCGGCCGCCGCCTCTCCCGCCGCCGTGCCGACCGCGCAGCCGGCCTCCTGTAGCGCTCCCACGCTCCCACGGGTCCGTAAACACCCGCCGATCGTGGTTGAGCAGCTGCAGGACTGGCCGACGCATCTGCGCGCCATCCATACGAAGCTCGGCCGACCGCCCAGCGTGCGCCCGTTTGGAACGGGTGTGCGCTTCACACCTCAAGACGACAACGAGGGCCGGCTCGTCCAGGCTTACCTCTCTGAGCAGGCCGGACTGAGCTGGTACGCCCACGCTCGTCCGGAAGACCGCAGCCTAAAGGTGGCCATCCGTGGACTGCCTGTGGACACACAACCAGATGACATCACCAGGGCCCTTGCAGAAAAGGGATTCGAGGTGGAATACTCGAGACAGATCCGGGCGCGAGCAGGCCGCCCCGGCTCCTTGTACTTCGCTGCACTCAGACGAACACCAGACATCATCCCGGCCATTTACTCAGTGAGTGACCTCCTGAGCATGACCGGGATACAGATCGAAGCATGGAGAGGCAGGAAGACCCCCGCGCAGTGCCACCGCTGCCAGGGGTTCCGCCACTCCAGCCTTGGATGCCATCGCCCGCTTGCCTGCGTGCGATGCGGTGACCCGCACGCAGCCGCCGACTGCCCCCGCCCGCGCGCACAGCCCGCGACTTGCGCGAACTGCGCGGGCGCGCACCCAGCAAACCACAGCGCGTGCCGCGCGCTTCAACGCGAGGCGCGCAATCGCCGCGCCACAACAGTGGCCCACACAGGCCGCCCCACTGCGCCCCACTCGCCGCGCACCGACCCAATCCAACAGCCCGCCGAGGTGAGCGAGCACGCGCCGGCCACACTGATGGCCCCCGCGAACGCTCCTCCCTCGCCCACCAGCCGCTCAAAACGCCGCCGAAAAAGGACCCGTCGGGTGAGTGACCCACCACCGCCGACGGTCGTACCCAATGACGCCCCGCCCAAAGAAGACGCCATCACCACCCAAGACCAGCCACAGCCCGCCCAAGAAGCGACAACAAGACTACTGCTGCACATTTCGGACTTGCTCACGGACTTTGTCAAAAAGTTCGGGCAGTCCGAAATAAACTTTTCGACACCTACCCCCGGATTCATCACTACCCCTGCCCGCTGAAGTCCGTCGCCCGCTCGCTGGTCGCTCACTGGGCCTCCCTCATGGGTCTCACCCGGTGGGCTTGACCGCGCCGAGGGCGACGTGTGAAGAAGCGGAGGCGGGGGTAACAGCCCAATTGACCGTCTCGTCCCGATGACGAGACGCGAGCCCGCATCATCTGAAGTGGGCCAACCGGCCCAGACCAGACTCCCCGCACGTCGCGGCGCCTTCGGCGCCGGCGACGCGCGAGACGAAGATAAGAGATAACTTGAAGTTGAAATTAAATGAAACGAAAATCAAGTTGCAAGGGATTCCAAAACTAGGAGTAATTATTCTGAAATCAGTGAAAGAAAACTACAAAGCAGAACAATTGCTTCACTCGAGTGACACGATAACTTCGCTACCAAAAAGTACTGATACATCTTTATATAAATTATGCGTCATGTAGTTTGATCCAACTTGAAAGATAGGATAGCTTACATCTCAATTTATAGTCGCAATATTATTTTATTGTAAATTATTACTTTTTAGCAGTACGAAGTTCGCCGAGTCAGCTAGTATATTATTTATCATGGAATCTTATTGAATCCGTTGACTTTTGTTCTTCAAACTAAGAAGCCGTGTGTCCCCACCGAAATATTTGTCCATATTCAACATTTTCATTGCAAAGGCGCCGGGACCTATTGTGGGGCCGCTGGAACGCCACTCCCTGTCATATTGTGAGATTGCCGAGTCACGTCCGTGTACTGTTTATCCACGACTAGTGGGTGCCGCGACTTCGTCGTCTTCGTTCGACTGACCTGTAGAGATCGGTTTCCCATACAAATTTCCAGCGCCCTCTTCACCTCCTTCACTGGGAAATGATTCCCGGGACTCAAACTAACTCTATACAAAATTTCCTTCAAATCCATTTGGCAGTTTGAGCGTGCGTAACGGACAGACACATTTTCTCGCATTCATAATAATTGGTATTGATATGAATGCTGTATAGTTCCACGGTTAGTACTGCCCGCTTCTATGATATCAAAGAATAATGGAAACAAACCTTTTCATCCAAACAGTGGAATATATGAGTGTTTCGTGAATGTCATTATTATTGTACTGTTGTAACTTTCTAACGAGTGGCTTTTTAGTGAAATTTAGTCTACATAGCTTCTGTTTCAAAGCATTTAAAGGAAGTCAAGTTAAGAGAAAAGGCGAGTTAGTTAGTTATATCTGTATATACTAGACAGGAGCCCGATGGCACAAGTAGTGGTCGGTCATTGGACGGGTGAGCGAAAATTAACTATCTCGAGCTCCTCAGTGCTTGAGAAGGTAAGGAAGGTTAAGCCGTTGGTCCCGGCTGCATCTGTAGTCGTTAGCGTCCAGTAATCCGCATTGGGCCCACGTTGTTGGTTATGGCTCAATCACCCTATTCCATCCATCCACGCCTGTGCCCCAGCAGTGGGGATATTAATAGGCAGATGATGATGAGGATACAGACAGCTGCTTAAAGCCATTTTGTTTATACAGCGGGTGCTCACGACTTCTATGTGGTTTGATTGGGTTCCCATACCAACTACAAACTTCCCCCTACCCCTTCCCTTTTTACCCCCTGAAAGATTGGTTTCCGGGATAAAAGTTATGCTAAGTCCTTTCCCAGGACACAAACTGTCTCTATACCAAATTTTCTCTTTATCGGTTAAGCGGTTTAAGCATGTAGATGTTCAAACGGAGACACTTTCTCATTTATACAATCAGGTTTCTGTATATATCTAGAAGACAATGGGGGTGATGACGGGGTACAGTAAATGAAATTCTATTTAGTCCGTCTAACTGACGGATGATCAAAAAATAATGGACACGTTTTTTTTCTTTGAGCAATCAACCAAAAAATGACCAAGTTATAGCGCGTCAAAATTTGGTAGGGGCTCGTGACGTCACTTTTAAGTGAAAATTGTACCAAAACGTGACGTCATGCGACTTTTCAAATCAATATATCTCTGCAATGTTTATATATATTATGTGAAAAAGAAAAAATAAGTGTCCAATACTTTTTGATGATCTACCTGATAAACGACGAACGACGATAAAAAAAATTAGTCATCATCCCTCTTACACAAGTACAAATACCATTATCCCAAAGTCTACATTGTTCGCTCGGCTTCACTTACCGCGTTTTGTTTGGTCCGAATTGTTATCAGGAATAAAAACATCGACAGTTTTTACGGACAGCTGACAAAACGGTACCCCATTGTCTACGGTGACAGACAATATACCACACTGGTAACGGTAGTTACTCAAACTCCATGTCAATTGATTGGCTTTTCCTATATGTGTACAGGGAAACATTGCAACTGACATATCCTTTGTTTTTACTTCCGCTTTTATTCTGGCAAAGTCTTTGTTAAAGATTATTTTTTCTATTTCCCCCAAATTTCCTCCGAACAATTGATAAATAAAAAACCGGGCAAGTGCGTGTCGTGTCACGCGCAGTGTAGTGTTCCGTAGTTGCCTGTAGTTGCCACAATATATTTGAGCAGGAGTCTTTATTTTCTGTATCGGAAATTAGAAAAAACAATTAATATCAATCTATGTGTCTCAACTAAAATACCTAAATCAAAGTCAAACTGCGCCTCAAAATCAATTCGATATTATAATTTTATAAATACGAGTGATTACCGCCGCTTTTTGCTGCTTCAATCAAGCAATTTATAGGATAGATAGATTTGCTGGGATATTGCTGGCAAACAAAATGATATCTATTTTGTTTGGCAGCAATATCTCAGCAAATTGTCTACGGATGAAGGCGCCTGAAGGCGAGAAATTATTTTCCTGTATTGTTTTGGATTTAGAAAACAAATTAATAACACGTAAAAGGCAGTGGTAAAGCACCTTGGGATTATATGTAGTATCCTGTTTTTATACTTTCTAGGTGCTTAGTTTTTAATTCAATCGGCGACATTATATGAAATAGAATAGAGAACTTGCTCGAATAGCAAAGGACCCTGGTTCGATATCTATCTGATATATGGGCCGAAATATTACTTACACTCTTTTTGACCTTATCATATACACCTTTTATTTCTATTTCATTTCCTCTCTTCTTTCTCTCTTTCCCATCCATACGTCGTCCTCCCTGTCTGCATCTCGACGCGGCCTCAGATCCTCTTATGAACCTATTCTACCAGCTATCCAATTCTCCATATCACAACACTACACAAGACGTCATTAACTTTTATTGTAATGAACGAATGAGCAAAAAAATATATTAATCGTTACGCGACTCACGCAACAGAAGCTCGCAAAATTAAATATTTTGACCCGTTTTTGCAATATTTTTCATCGATGCTCTGCTCCTTCTGGTCGTAACGCAATGTTATATAACTTATAGTCTTCCTCGATCAATGCACTATTCAACATAAAAATATTTTTTCAAAACCAGTAGCTACTGAGATTAGCATGTTTCAACAAAAAAAAGAACAAACTTACCAGCTTCCAACGATAGGTAGGTATTATTATCGTTGCCAGCTTCATAATCTTAATAAGTGTAGGTATATAACTACTTCTTCGTGTTAAAATATTTTATGCAATAATAGTATTATAAGTGATAAAAGTGATGAATGTGTACAAACCACTGCGTCACTTTTACACTTGAATTCTTTGACATTTAAGTACATTAAATTATATTACACGATATTTTAAATTATATGACTTTAAATGTAGAATATTAATTAATAACATAAATTCATTTTGTTTGACATTTGGTTTAGATTACTTTTTATATTATATATAATACAATTTCATTATTTAAAAAACACACACATCGATTGAATCCTAGAAATAATATATACTAACATAGCATTTAAGTTAAATATTGTTACTAACGATTTGATGGACCATTTTGTTGTCTGTAATAAACAATTTGAATTATAATTATAATTAATTATTAATAATAGGAGCATTAACCAATGGTAAGGGGAAAAACTTTTATTAACAGCAGGGCAATGGTGCATTCTCCACTAAGGGTCCTAACGTAAGCATCAAAATTTGCACTATCAGTTAGATATTTTATTATGGAATGTTTATATATATATATAAAGTTTAAAAAAGTCATTGTTTATAATGCAAGCCTGAGAACAAAAACTATAGTCTATATTACAGCTTTACACCGTAGCGTAGCGAGGTCGGGTCACTAGTTATTACATAATTTAAAATAGGTAAACTTCTGAACTGAGGGTAAAGAAAACAATGAATTATTTTTGAAGAGCCTAGATTTATGCTTCCAATTTGGATAAAGCTTTTTTGTAATCAATTGTATAGAGGACTTTTTCGATTTAAATTTCTTTCCTGAAATAAGACTAATGATTATCGGTCTTATTTAAACCTATTCGGGGCTTTATTGAAAATGTTAATGTAGAATATTAAAAAAATCTGAACAAAGGTTTCTTTTTTTGTAAAGACCTTGCCATTTCTTTTGTTTACTCAATACGCTAAGGCCCGTATTATAAAAAGATTCGCAGTGATTGATCTAGTCTTGAGCATAGTTAGAAAGGGATGTCGCTATTTATACCTAGCACATAGCGATATCCCTTTGTAACTGTACTCAAGTAAAGATCAACACTTAGTTAACATTCTGTAATACTGGCTTAAATATACAAAGAAAACTTACTGCCTTTGTACCTTTTAAACTCGTAACGAATACCATGTGCGATACTTTCTGCATATCTGATAAGAAATCAGATTCGTTTAAATGTCTACATTCTACTAAATTTCAATATATTTGCAAAGTTTTCTTAGGCTCGTATTACAGAATGACAACTAAGAGTTGATTTTTACTTGAGTACAGTTAGAAAGGGATGGTGCTATGTGCTGTTTATAGCGACATCCCTTTCTAACTATGCTCAAGATAAGATCAATCACTGAGAATCTTTCTATAATACTGGCCTTAGGCCCCTATTAGAGAATGACAACTAAGTGTCGATCTTTACTTGAGTACAGTTAGAAAGGGATGGCGCTATGTGCTGTATATAGCGACATCCCTTGCTAACTATGCTCAAGACTAGATGAATCACTAAGAATCTTTCTATAATACGGGCCTTAGACTCGTATGTGTTATATATTTAAGCTTACAACTATCTTACTCCTTCTAATATTAAAAATGTGAAAGTTTGTATGTTTGTCACTGAATTTTATAAAAACTACCGAACGGATTTGGATGAAAATTGTTACGCAATAGTTTATGCTCTGAATTGATACAAACGATGCTTTTTATTTCGGAAAATGTATGGCTCCTGTAGGATTCTCAAAAAACTAAAGTTAATGCGGACAAAGCCGCGGGCGGACGCTAGTTCTATAAATAAAGAATAAGCGATAAATGCCGTTTTATAAAATGAAATACTCACCTTGTACAGAAATATAAATGATTTTATTTCGAGGAAGAACAGCTTTTATTTACAATATCATTATTAGTTTCACAGTTATAAATAGGAGACTTCGACGATTTTTTTTTGGATTGTGAGTTATATTAAAAAATTAGTTTCCAAATTTCAAACCTAATTTCAGTAATTTGTCTTGTATCTACTAAGTAAACAGAAAAAAAACCTTCTTGTATATCAATCATTGCTGAAATTATATTCATTTAGTATTTTATTTTCAGATAACCCTCTAAACTGCGACTGCTTGATGGCAGGATTCGCACGTTGGCTGAGAGAAGTAAAGAAACTGTTACAATCTGATAAATCGGCAGCCGTGTGTGCTACCCCACCACATTTAGAAGGCGCATTGATATCCCGCCTCTCGAATAACAAACTATGCGACGATTTCGAACATATAGATGTAAAAGTCGAAAGAAAAGACGATAATTTCGAACTGAATAAAATTTTGGAGAATGCTATTGAGGACACACAAGATAAATACGTTGATTTGGAAGCGGCGGTACAAGACGCGTATGTAGATAAACAAGATGGTCTCGACGATGATGTTTACGATGAAGAGTTAGATGTACCGTCAGAAGAAGATTTGCCGATTTCCAAATCAAAGGTAAGTCGATACCTATAGCTTCTTTCGTTTTTAAAAGTGCACACCTGGAGTAAACGTATTCATTAATATAGGATTTAAATACCTATTTCTATTTCATAACGTAAGATAGGAAAAAGGGGTAGCTGGGTTTCGCATTTCGGTTAAAAAAATATCTATTGAAAATTACTAAGAAAAAAACATTAAAGGCTTTGTCAAACAGAATGCGTACTTAGCGCTTCGTTTTAGCGTTATAGCGTAGCGTTTTCACGTCGCGCTCTTCTCATGTCACACAAATTGTCTAGATTAGTCCAACGCTCCTTAACGTAACGTACCATTCGTCAAAGCGTAGTGAAGATCGATAGCAGAGTGAAAAAAGTTGTTCGTCGAGATGTTTAGTAATTTAGATGTGGAAAAGTTATTACTTTTATATGCTTTATCACGGTTACAGGGAAAAAGAATATGGGTGCATGACTTGGTTAATATACATATTCCTATAAAAGATATCTTTCGTATTATATAAGCATGGGTATTTTCTAACTAATGCTATAAAATTTTTGGACATTATGCAGTATTTTAACATGTAACACTCGGACGCTAAAATAAAATTTGTAAAAAAATACAACGCCCGACGTTAAAGCGTCCTAGCACTGCGACAGAGCTTTGCGTACTGCTAGAGCTGGTGCTCTGTTTGACGTATTTGACAAGGGGGCCATTCGCCTATCGGAAATGCTTTGGAAAACGACAACGCTTACGATTTCATTTTGTTATTTCTAGCCGCCTGAGGTTTTCAAATGCATCGTGTTCTTTTGCATTGTTAATAACAATATTAAAGAAAATGAGCGTGAGGTATTTGAAAACGTGTTAGCGTTTTCCTAAGCATTTCCGTTAGGGGAATGGCCCCCAGGTAGTACAACACATTTGAGCGTCATAGCGCGGCGTCAACGTCAAGTTAGCGCTCTGACGCGCGCTAAGTACGCGTTCTGTTTGACAAAGCCTTAACAGTGACATAGATGAAGTTATTGTAGCGTAAAACCTTGCATTGCATCAAAATATAAATAAAAAAAAATTAAACCACAACATAATATCGTTAGTTCCACGCTACCGCGAGTACCAACGGCAACGGCTTCTGATGCTTAACGCGTTAGGTTTTCTAAATGGTATATAAACACTTGAAAAGTTCGGCTGCTATACTTGTAAGGCCATTCTGAGCATTAGCATGAACTACCGGTGTATTTTAGTCAGTAAGAGTCTGACATAATTTGGCAGCCGGCTGGAGGGGGGTATCCATGAGGATTTCACACCTGCTCCCCCGCCTGGGAGTAAACAAAAAAATCGGCAGTTATCATTCATATTTAAAAAAATTATATCGAATTGATTTTGAGTTAAAGACACAGTTTGACTTTGGTATTTAAATTGATATAAATAGATTGATATTAATTGGCTTTTTCTAGTTTCCGATACCGAAAATTAAGACTCCTGCTCAAATATACTGTGGTATCCACTGAACACAGAAAGAGGTTTCTATGTTCTGTGGTGGTAACTACAGGCAACTACGGAACCCTAAACAGCCTTAGATAAAAACAAAAAGGGAAGATATAGTACGCTCATGCTAACATCAAATAAAATATGATCTGACTCTGTAAAGAAACATTCAATGGAGAAAGCAAGATAGAATTGTACACTTCAATACAGCGCGAGCGAAACGGCGCGAGTTCGCGTCGCTTTGCAGCCGACTCTGTTTTCTTTTCTCTCTCTACATACGGCTGAGCTGTATTGTTGTCCTTTTCTTGATAAAAAATGGCGCATCAGTATCTAACATTCATGGCAAACCGTAATTTTTGAGAAAAAAATGTTTTTATAGTTTTACGACTGAAAAGTGTTGCCGTGGCATTTGTTATTTGATCTAGAACTATGTATTTGTGTACTTTATAAAAGCATTGAAGTCATTTTTTTAACTTTATAACACAGAATAACGCTGTATTGTTATATTAAGTGCACATGCATCGTGTTTGGATGTCCAATTGCGACTAAAGCGAATTGTGGTCATGCACCACAATTTAAGCGGATCAATTTTGAGCCGCGAATGCCTTATCATCCTTTTTTGTTTGAACACACAGCGCGTGGCACTACACGTACTTGGCCGGTTTTTTATTGTTTTAAATGTTGATGTTATCCTTGCAATCTTTTAATTTTTAGTGTACTGACTGAGAAATTGCTTAGGTGTACAACTTTATATGTATTAATAACTCTAGTTAACTTTTTTGGGTTGAGAATGTTTTTATCTATAATACAATTATAACTGTACATATCTTGGAATCTTTAAAATTTTTAATGTACTGACTGAGAAATTGCTTAGGTGTACAACTTTATATGTATTAATAACTCTAGTTAACTTTTTTGGGTTGATAATGTTTTTTATCTATAATACAATTATTACTGTACATATTAGCCGTACTAGGTTGGGTAACAGCCTCAATTTGATAGTTACTATTTTTGGCCACATCATCGTTTTTATGTCAGATTACAAAAAAAACTTTAAATCAATGCTTCAACAACAAATACAGTAGGTTAGGTACCCACGGATACATGCATACTTACAATGATTAGGTTCATTACTTTAAGTTATGATTTTTCATACGCTGCAGGACTGTTTAGTTATATGCCATTTTACAATTTTTATTTATGTCTATCTATCATGTTTTTCTTCAAAATAGGTCCGACTTCTAGATGCATTGTTTGACGATGAAGAGGTCCATCTATCCTGGTCAGTAGACCCGCCTTCTACCAGAAGGTTTAGATGCACTGGCGTAACAGTATCCAGAAGCGGCGGTCTTCCAAAGCACGTGGCTTGCCATCGAGCTGCACCAGCAAATGTCGTGCTGCGAGGCTTGAAGATCGATCCAATGGAGAAATACGCGTAAGTGTAGATTTACTTTTAAAATGCTGCCAAATTTAACTATGTTATAGAATTTTGTTTCTACAGGTTGAAAGTAAATAGAACTCCTAGGATTTGATTTGTTTAGAAAATTATGAGTCGGAAAACTCTCAGAAACTATGGTGACAAATTAGATGATAGATTAGATAATATATCTTATGTTCTTGTTTACACCACCTTAAATGATTAGAGTTACGGCGTTATCTCTTTTAAGATTTATTGGCATCTGGAATTGTCGTAGATGCTTGAAATTTTGATAGATCAGGTAGATCATTACTGTTTATTCTCTTATGATATATATCATCAATATATGAATATCTATATATATATATAAAACTCAAAGGTGACTGACTGACATAGTGACCAACAATGCACAGCCCAAACCACTGGACGGATCGGACTGAAATTTGGCATGCAGGTAGATGTTATGACGTAGGTATCCGCTAAGAAAGAATTTTGATCAATTCTACCCCCAAGGGGATAAAATAGGGAATGAAAGTTTGTATGAAACTTTGTCAATTTTAAATCGATCGGGCTCAGACTTTGCATGCAGGTATAAGAAGAATCATAGATGAATGTCATTGTGTATAATACAAACCTGAGAACAAAAACTGTAGTCTACACTTCAGCTCTACACCGAAGCAAAGCGAGGGCGGGCCGCTAGTTACTTATAATGCAAATAATTTACAAGATTGCGTGAATTAATCGCGATGTCGTTCAAGATTATAAAAGAGGCGGTATATTTGACGCCTCTTAGATTAGTCTGAGCAAAATTTTAAATCCTCTGCATTAAGTTTGCTCATGCTTGTATTTAAGCCAATTTCAGTGAATACTCAGAAATATAAAATTTTCAACATTCATTTATTATTAATGATATTACAATGACTTGGTATAAAATAAAATTAGCATGCCTCTGATATTGACTGCATAGGGCAAAATGGATTTCCCAAAAGTTTCACATCCTTATTTTATTTTTATTTCCATTTAAAGTGTGATTTTTTCAACGCAAAAAAGCCTACGTTTTCTTATTTTTATTTTTTAAGCATTTAATTGTGAGATTTTTAAATCTTAAGAATTTATAACTACAAAAAAATCCACACAGACCAGGCAACAGACGGGACTCGAAACAGCACCCTCCGCTATTCGGGTGGATGCACCAACCTTATGCTACCGCGCCCTAATGGCGGTGTCGAATTCTTTCTTAGGCTACAAGGCAGCGCCATCAATTCGCATTGTAGGTAACCCACAATGTCAAACGAATACCTTTACAAGTATACCAACATTTAGAAGTATCTCTGAAGTCATATTTCATCTTGACGACTCTGTATATATCAATGCAGGGAGAAAAAAGCAGCCCTTGCTTAGTTTCTTGACGGTTCTTCTCAGTTCTCCCGCCGTAGTTTTGCGAACCGATGGCGTAGCTTCTGCCCTTCACAAGTGCTTGTAACAGCCTAGACTGAATAAATGACTTTTCATTTCATTTCATTAATCGGAATCGGTTTTGGCTTGGGCGTAAAAAAGGCAACAGACAGTAAAATAGATATAACTTTAGCATTTATAGATAACAGATATAATTTATATATTAATTTCTGTCCCTCAGGTTTTGTATAGCTCTAGAAGAAATGGACAACTCCGATAATCCTTTGTCACTGGTGTTGGGATGCAGCCCACCTCAGTTGGTGCGGCAAAGGGCGCCGTTTGTCACCTCCGTACCAGTGGTGGTAACTGAAGTTACGGAACGAATCCATTTGAGGTAAAATGTTTAATCAACCATCAGGTTAATACATACAAGAGCAGTAGCGTAACTCAGCCGTTTTCTTGAAATAGATACCTACAACTGAGCGGAGCTCTAAGGTTGGTACCTACAAAATGTCAAACATATTTGTGTTGATTTTTATTGTATGTGTATAGTTACTATTGCCACGTTACGGAATCGAAATGGAGGCTAAAAGCGCGGGCGGCGCGGCGCAGCTAACTTAACTCGGCCAACGACCACTCACGGCGGTGCGCGACGTTGCACTGCGTAGATTTGCCTTGTCAAGATCGGTTAGCGGCCGTGTAAATGACGTTTGTCTGTGTGCGTGCGTCGGTTCGGGCGCTAGTATGAAGTCGGATTACTGCTCTTGTATGTATTGTGGTTCAGGGGAGGAGGGAGGTCTTGTATATTAAAGGTATGCACGCACTCTTGGCGCCACACTGAATGATTTCTTTGTCGCACTAAAAATGCTAAAAGTGAGTCACATAGTATGGGTGCGTTCCCCATCATCATAACAGCCGTACGACGCCCACTGTTGACCATAACATAGGCCACACCAAGGTTCTCCTCACCGATCGATCCTGCTCCACTCACATCCATCTGACCTTCACTAGATCGTTTGAAACCATTTGCGTTTAGTACGCTGTAATGACAAGTTCTTAGAGATTTTCTGTTTCCCGCGACTTTTACTAGATCATTTGAAACCATTTGCGCTTAGTACGCTGTGATGACAAGTTCTTACAGATTTTCTGTTTCCCGCTACCTTCACTAGATCGTTTGAAACCATTTGCGTTTAGTACGCTATGATGACAAGTTGTTAGAGATTTTCTGTTTCTCGCGACCTTTACTAGATCGTTTGAAACCATTTGCGCTTAGTAAGCTGTGATGACAAGTTCTTAGAGATTTTCTGTTTCCCGCGACCTTCACTAGATCGTTTGAAACCATTTGCGTTTAGTACGCTATGATGACAAGTTCTTAGAGATTTTCTGTTTCCCGCGACCTTCACTAGATCGTTTAAAACCATTTGCGTTTAGTACGCTGTGATGACAAGTTCTTAGAGATTTTCTGTTTCCCGCGACCTTCACTAGATCGTTTGAAACCATTTGCGCTTAGTACGCTGTGATGACAAGTTCTTAGAGATTTTCTGTTTCCCGCGACCTTCACTAGATCGTTTGAAACCATTTGCGTTTAGTACGCTGTGATGGCCAGTTCTTAGAGATTTTCTGTTTTCCGCGACCTTCACTAGATCGTTTAAAATCGTTTGCGCTTAGTAAGCTGTGATGACAAGTTCTTAAGATTTTTTATTATTTGCACATCAATGTGCTTATATTTACGAAAATAAAGCGCCGAAACCTTTTCGTATAAATTAAAATCAATGACTATTCCGCCGCCCATACACAAGTTACAAACTTTTATATCTGAATGCCTTGTCTACTATTGATTTTACGTTATTATTCCCATTTTCTGATTAACAAGTTAAGATTATAAACGTGATTTTTATATCTATTTTTTCATTGGCATATTTATCGATAAGGCATTACTTTTGGCCGTCTGGATGTTTGGAAAGCACTTTTCCTATTGTTATAAAAAATAAAATAATTAAAGGATACCATAGTTATGTTGAATTATCAAAGAATTTAGATGTTATTGTAACATAATATGTAAGAAAATGTAACTATATCAAAAGTTATACTTTTTCAAATAAATTATTATCTAGGCACTTGCAAATTTTTAATAAAAAGTCACTTTTCGGCCTTCAATGTTACATTTTAGTTAATAATCTTGTAAAATTGATACCTATATGTATAGTAAGGGATAATATATATATGACGCGCAGTGTTAAAGCATCAAAAAATTGGAACCGAAGTTTTTAGTATTTCATAGATATTTCATAGCAGATGTAAGAATTTCTGATCTCATAACGCCGGACAGCGCAAATTGAGTCTCTCTAGATTCACACATATACCTAAATATAATTTTGTTATCAATTACATAACGTCGAAGTTAATTAAACGTGGCTGAGATTATATTAAACGGTATTGTATAATGCATAAAAAATAAAACGTTTAAAAACTATTCACCACATTATCATTGTTCACATCGACACTGTTCTATTCCTGATATACACTGGATGCGAGAAGGTATCGTGTAGGACCGTTGTATAAGGAAATCCCTTGAGGAGGCCTATGTCCAGCAGTGGACGTCCATCTGCTGACGGCTGATGATAATGATCCCAAAGCTCTGAGGTTATTTTTTTCTGTGCAATATTTTTTAAACGGTCATTTAACGAAATTCTATTTATTCCGTCAGTTAGATTATCTACAAATAACAGACACATATTTTGTTTGTCAACAAAAAATTACAAACATTAAGCGTTTTACAGTTTAGGAGTGGGGGCTCGTAACATCACTTCTAAGTTAAAAAAATATTGTACCTGACCTGACGTCATGTGACATTTCAAATCAATATTGCCTCTGTAACACCTCGTTAACAATACCCACTGGATATACCCAATGGATGCGTAAAGCGTAGGACCATTGTGTATGGAAATCCCTTGAGGAGGTCTAAGTCCAGCAGTGAACGTCCATCGGCTGATGATAATGATCCCATAGCTCTGAGGTTATTTGCTTCTGTGTAATAATTTTTAACAGTAATTTCTTTAATTTCAGAGTATCAGAAGTCCGTTCAAACGTCACAGGCGATGGTCTGCTCACAGTTCTCATATCAGTCAATGGGATACCGCCAGCAAGACAATTCGGCTTACAAAGGATGCAGCGACTGTCTACAGACCGGTACAATCCTGCATACAATTGCTATGTAGTACTAGCCGTGCTATCTAGAGGTTCCTTGGTCGCGCAGAAGGACACACAATGCCAACCCACCCTAGAAATATCCATGGAAGGTTTCATAAGAGGACCTTACGAAGTCTGCGCCACCCTCTCCAAATTTAAAGACGAAGACCGGCCTATTTGCGTCGTACCCCAAATGTTGGATGAAACAGGCTCCTTAGAAATGAAAGCTGGTTTCAAAAATCTGAATGCGGCGTTGATTGGCGTGGCTCTCGGTTTGATGGTGATCGTCGTGGGTTTGGTGTGGTTTGTAAGGAAGATGTTGAAGAAACCAAGCGAGTTTGAGACGCACAGGTGTTTTAGACCCGAACCTATTCAAGAAGAGAACCCGGGAACTACAAGCTACGTTATGTTGACTGCAACTTCTAAAGTTTGATGTGGATGTAACTGAATGAAATGGTAACAAATACTCAATCAGCGTAAGAGAAGTCAGTGCAGTGTTAAAGATTATCATTAAAAACAAATCGACTGACTATCGAAAGTTTCGCCCTAAAACATTTCAATGATGAATGTCATATTTTAAAAATGCATCATCATTGAATATTTTTTTTAAGTAGTCCTTTTTAAATTTCCTAGTCTATGTTAATATTTAAATTTATTAATAAATAATAATAGTAGTTTTCTACGAACGATCGTTGTATATTTTAATAAATTTCACATTGAAAATGTATTTCTTATTCATTCATGTATATTTTTAATAACATTAAACATAAATATTCGAGAACTGTTTATTTTATAATTTATTTCTATAAATATCGAGTTGTTTAACTAAACTTAACGAAAATGATGTTGATAACATTATTAACATTAAAAATGTAATCTGTCAAACAGTACTAATTAGTAATAAGATTAATTTCTGGGAAAACCGCTATTTATCTATGTTTAATTGGTCTTGTGATAATAACATTAATCTTGACGGGTTAATGTGTGGGTTTTAACCGCAGTTTATAGATATTTATTTGCGTCGCTTTTTGCTTTAAATTTAATGTTTTGACTAAATTGTTTCTGACTTTGACTGGTAATAAGGAGTTAAGACTTTATTTCAATGGAAAAAGACTTTCGTCCATACCATCTGTCTGTTATTATAACTTTTTCTAAATACAATTAATTATAAGAAAGTTATAATTATTTAATTGTAATTTTTCATCATTTCCTTTATTAATCGTTTTTTTGTGATTTTTATAAATATATAGTATTTTTATTATTATTATTATCATCATGTCTTTGAATTTCTGATATTGTTTAAATGTTATTATAAACAGATATATAAAAACATATTGAACAAACGATGTATAACGAATTATTTACGACAATAATCCTTTTCCATCGGATATTAAAATGATTAAAAGAGCGTTTTTCCTTGAGGTTTTCCCCACGAAGCAATTTCTATCGTCGATTTTGATGTAAATTAGCTTTTCATGGAACTAAAATTACTTATTCTTTTCGTTCATAGCGTTTTCTGAGAATATTTTATTGAATCACAGACTAACAATAGTATTATTAAGTCAACAATACGCCACTTAACAGGCGTTTTCGGCCTCCTCAGAAAGTAATGTTTTCCCGTAATTTACAAACGAAAATCGAAAAAAAATGTTGTTTTGTTATTTTTTTTAATATTCTTTTTTTTTGCTTCTGACTATTTTGGCAGTAGTGGAAATGTTGATTAGATAAATTAATATAAGTGAGAATTTCGCTTACATGTCAAATAGGGATGATGATTAGGTAAAGTTAATGAAATTCTATTTAGTCCGTCAGTTAACTATTTTTAATTAATTATTTTTAGATAATCTAAAAATAATAGAAACATTTTTTTTCTTTTGTCAATCAACCAAAAATTTACAAGGATTAATTGCTTCAAAGTTTGGGAGTAGCGGTTCGTAACGTCACTTCTAAGTAAAAAATATTTTACCAAGACGTGACGTCTTGTGACATTTAAAATCAATATTGCCTCTGTAACCCCTCGTTTACACCAAGAAACAAGTCATATACTAGTTTTACACAAAACTTTTAGAATACTTGTTGTGGAATTCTTTCGTTTACACTGCACTAACAACGAGTATATTTATAAGGATAAATCACTATTTACTTCACATAATTTGTGTATCCAACAAGTTTGATGCATGTATTGTATACTACACGTTTTAAACATGTATATACGTGTGAACAAAATATTAAGATAAAGGTGACGATTCTGGCATGATTTTCTAAACTTTAAACTAAACTTCAGTCTCTTCTTTTCATTCTGTATAAAGAATGACAAGGATACACTATTGTCAAATTTTAGTTTAGGTTTAGAGAATCATGTCAGAATCGACACCATTGTATAAAATTTGTTAAATGTTAATGTATTATACCTTGGTGTAAACGAGGGGCTATGTTTTGATTGTGTAAAAAGGAAAAATTCATGTCCAGTACATTTTGATATTATATCTGATAGATGAAGAAGAAAAGTTAGTCATCATGCTTATATTATTTTCCTTTTTGCCTTATTATCCAAACTTTTAAATATATTATTAAAAGTCGCTTTCCGTATCTGTCTGTAAAACCTGCTGGTGAAATTTAAGTGACAATGACTAACATTTCGGTGATTTCCCTGCATCTATGCATTTTGTCATCAAGCTTTTTAATTTAATAAAACCATAAAATATTATTTAAAATGTCAACTGACTGAAAAGAAGTCTTCATATAAACATGAAATTATTAATAGTTATGTTATTAACACGAGGCTCTTTTATATTTTTTTTATTTAGTAAAAAAAAAGCTAGTTTTGACTCACTCTGTTTATTATTAAAAGTTGTCGTTTGGATATTTGGATAGTCTATGATGTGCGTTTTACGGTAAACGAAGCTTTATATTAATGTACTTAGGTACAAAATTACGTGTATAAATGTGAAACACTTTGGCCTTGCTTTAATTAGTTTAAATCGATGTAAATAATAATTTATGTGACGCAGTTTTTTTTCTCGAATAAAAAATTAACAAATTAAATGCTCATGTTAATTTCCTTTTTTATGTTTTTTCTTTCTTTAACAGGTTCACTGCGTATCGCCCATAATCAACCTGACGCCGTGTTAACACCGCGTATCAGACTAATATTATAAAGGCGAAAGTTTGTGAGTATGTGAGTGTGTATGTTTGTTACTTCTTCACGTCTAAACGGCTGGAACGATTTTAATAAAATTTGGTGTGGAGTTAGCTGATACCCTGGATTAACACATAGGCTACATTTTACTGCGGGAAAATATCTTATTTAGTAGGTACATATTTTTTGACATTCATGTCAAAGCTATTTTGATTTTGATAGATTAATATTTCATCTCATTTCATACATATTTCTAGGACAACGATATTGTTATAATTTCTTTGTGTATCTAATTATGACTCCCAATTGTAAACCAAATCGTTCACAGAGCTCACAAAGAGCTTCATCCATGAAAATTGCAAAACAGCAAGAATCTACTTATGATACTGAACAGCGCAGACGTGACCAAGCAACACGTCAGGCAGAAGTCAGAACTGGAGAAACTTCTGCGCAAGCTGATGCTCGGCGTCTGGAAAATCCTATCCGCATAGCTTCTCAGCGCGCATCAGAGACAACTAATGAGGCAGCTTTTCCGCATCAAGAAAACGCACAGCCTATGACCACACAGTGATCCAATCAAACACCTTATGAAGCAACTTCTCGACGGCGAGAGCATGCCCAGTTTATGGCTAATCAGCGTGTATTAGAGACACATGAAGAAGCAGCTACTCGGCGTCAAGAAAACGCACAACGTTGTCCATTCAGCGTGCTATTGAAACACCTGATGAAGGAACTTCTCGACAGCGAGAGCATGCCCAGCTTATGGCTAATCAGCGTGCATTAGAGACACCTGAAGTAGCAGCTACTTGGCATAAACAAAACGCATAGCGTATGTCCACTCAGCGTGCCATTGAAACACCTGATGAAGAAACTTCTCGACAGCTAAATCATGCCCAGCTAATGTCTAATCCGCGTGCTTCCGAGACAGTAGATGAGACAAATTCTAGACGACTCGCAGTCGCTCAGCAGCAAGCAGAATGCCGGCAAACATTTACCAGAAATGCTTGGGGGTTATTTGAAAAATGTGGTTTTGAATATGACTTGATATTGGATTACAATAGCCACAGGCTGATTAAAATTTGCCGTATGGAAAATGTGTGTCACCATTGTGGGGCATTAAAATGGAATGAGGAAAGAGCGGGAATGTGTACCTCTGGGGGCAAAGTAGCCATTCCTGTTTTAGAAGAGCCTGTGGAACCCTTAAATACATTATTTACAGGTGAAATTGATGAATCTTGACGGTTCTAAAACTGCGTACAACCCATGCTTTGCTTTTACATGTCATCGTTCGGGGCGGACAAAGGACAATGGCGAACTCCCATACAATTTTTTGTTGACTTTTTTTCTTGCGTCTATAAATGAATTGCATGTTAAATTATAGAGTTTACATTCTTGATTTGATTCATCTTATTTCTTATATTATAGGAAGTCTGGATTTATAGATATTCTTCTTTGAAGTTTTGGAGGTTATGTCCTACCAAGTAATGCAAAAACGAATTATAAAAGAATTTTCAAGAGTATTTTTATATCAAAATAAAAAATACGTGGAACGGAACTATAGAAGTATACCGGTCCTGAAGATTAGTGACGAAAAACAAATGTTTTTTACAATGTATGATCAGTTGGCTTTCTTTCTTTCTTTCTTTCTTTGGCGTAGGTACTGACCAACCGCGTCAAAATATTTATTATCAGACAAGAGTTATTGAGTTCAAATACAATGTCTGTGCCGTAAAAAGTACTTAACAATTTGAAAATGCCCACTGCAATAATAAAGTATAAAAAAGGATTTCTAATAATGTTAGTAATGGGATATTAATTAAATATGCAACACTTTTTATATATTTTTTATTCCACATCGTTGATCACAATATCGTAGATAGTAGATACAATGAAATAAAATCCACAGTATGGGACAGAATCATGTCCAAAATCCACAAAAAATATCAGATTCGGAAGTCTTAGGCAAGCACTACTCAACAGTCGCAGAGAAAGATTTCGAAAGTCCAAATACAGTCCAAGTCACATAAAAAAACAAATCTCAGAAAAACATATTACGCCGATTGAAATTTTTGCAATATGCATGCACCTAAGCACAATCAATGTTAAATAATGATAACAATAACAACAATTCGATGACAAGCATGACAGTGACAGTTATAGTTTTTTTTCGTTAGAATTTTCGCCATACTCTTTTTGTATTGTGGAGATTATTTAATATGGTTTCAGTATAATATTGAAAACTTATGTTTCCCGATATTTTTGATAGATAATTAAATACAGTTCAAGCGTAAAGCGATGCAAATCATACGAACAACATATTTATAGTTGATTTCATCACTAAAATCACTTAAAATGAATGGCTCAAAAGCCATCATGGCCAAGCCACAATAAAAAAAATAAATAAATAGTCAATTGTGTTTCCCTTTTTTTAAGTTTTTAAATCCAGACTTAGAATTGTTTAATAAATCTTTTGAGATTATTTTATTAATATTTCTGATAATAACATCTATAGACGCTATAGATTTACTTCAACAAATATTTCGCCATTGTCCTTTTTGCAATGCCTGGATTTTCCCCAACGTTCACAGTGCATGACCAACTACATCACAATATGGGTGATGATCACCTAATGAACAGCCACAATTTTTACAGGTGTATTTTATGGGAGACGACGACGCGGAAACTGACAAACGGTGTCAAATCATTCCAGGTATGGAGCGAGCAACTGTGCCAGGAAGACGAGTTTGCTCGCACGTGGAATGCGTCACGGTTGGCCTGGTGTGAAAGCCTTAGATGCCCACGGTAGAATTTATACCGTACACATAACACACTTTGAGTGCTATTGTGTACGGTTGCTGTTGCTATTACTAGAATCCGGGGTCCTACCAGTTTTCAAGCGCTCAAAATCGTCGATGGGCAGGAAAAGGCCACTTTTCAAGAAGCATGTGAGGCGATGAAGCTGCTTGAAGACGACGGCCACTGGGACGCAACGATGGAGTGCGCAATGTTGTGCCGGTCAGCGACTACGTTGAGAGAGCTCTTTGCGATTATGATAAGCACCTGCGGACTCTCCAACCCCCGGCAATTGTGGTACAAGTATAAAAAGCGCTTTGTCAGAGGGCATTGCTCGCCGATACCAAGGGATCATCATCATCATCAGCCTATTAATGTCCCCACTGCTGGGGCACAGGCCTTCCCTATGGATGGAATGGGGAAATTGGGCCATGACCCACCGCGCGAGCCCAGTGCGGATTGATGGGTGCTAACGACTGCAGATGCAGCCGCGACCAACGGCTTAACGTGCCTTCCGAAGCACGGAGGAGCTCGAGATAGTAAATTTTTGGTCACCCATCTAATGACCGACCACTGCGAAAGTTGCTTAACTTCAACGATCGCAGCTGAACGCGCTAACCACTGGCGCCATCGAGCTCCTCGACAAGGGATAACACTAGACATAATTTTTAAAGAAGCGCTGAAAGTCTTATTTCTTGGACGCACCAGGGGGCACCGGCAAGACTTTTTTAATGAACTTGCTGCTGGCACAGTTGTGCAAAGACAAAGTGGTTGCGCTGGCTGTTGCATCCTCCAGAATAACCGCAACCTGGCTGAGTGGTGGCAGAACCGGACACTTAGTATTCAAGCTCCCGCTGAAACTTGCAAGTGAAGAAACGCCCATTTGCAACATCAGTAAAAGTAGTAGTCGTGGTGCTCTATTGCAATGATGCAAATTGATCGTATGGGATCACATGCTCCCGTGTGTCGAGAGCAAGAAACACATTTTAATTACGCAGAAAACAATGCGTCCCGCATTGTGGTTTACCGGGATGTGCTGCAGTAAAGTGATTTCTAGGTCTCGCTCTACGACCCGAGACAAAAAACAATTACATAAGGCAGCATAATCATCTCTCCCGTTCTGTCAGTTATCAAATTTTGTAAATTGATCTTTCCGATGTTTAAGTTTAAATTATTTTGCTTCTAAAAATGTGAATAGTCATTGTTTTTACTGTTAATACACAATTTATTTTCCCTAATAAGCCGCGGGTAACACCGCGGGGCACAGCTAGTAAGAAATAAGGGTCTCTTCCGCTAATGCTGAACATCATACATATGTATTTTTGTAATTTTTACGAGTGCGACATAAATAAATATAGTATTCGATTTGTGACTAATGATAATAGTCATAAAACAATAAAAAAAAAATGTGAGCCATCACGGGAAGCCTGGTAGATGTGAAACATCGACTGTGCCGGATAGTGACCACCAGTACTTGGTTTTCGTATCGTCGCAGCTTAGCTACATTGTTTTGAAACTCATATTTTGGATGTTTAAATAAAAGATGTGATATCTTTGAAAGTCTTATAGCGTATATTGTATTCAAAAAATTGAGTTTCATAATTCGAGAAAGAGGGGTCGGGGACAATATTTTGCGACCAATGGCAGCGTCGATTTTGATATCGCGTCATGTAGCACCATACGGATTGGTGACCGAGCCGAACCTTAACTTGGCGCGTTTCGTCTCGCACAGAAATGCCAAACATCGACATTATTTTGTAAAAGTAATCTGCAGAAAAGAATAGATTGCGATAGGAACTAAATATGGCATAATAACGATTTTTCTCCAGTAAATGATGACTGTTTATTTAATAACATTTATTTTCATTAAATACAAATAACGAATTCGATTGCGTATGGCGACGCGTCGCCACTCCGTACACACTACTGCATATGGACTGTATATAAATATATAGCATCGTATGGAGTGGCGACGCGTCGCCACGGTATGAGTCGCCACGACAGAAATCGGTTTTAAGTGCGCCTATAGATGTTTCACATAAACAGCGCGTCAGGTCTTAGGCCGTATACAGAAAGAAAGCTGGAATCCGACCAGCGCTAGTCCTTACCGGTAACCGGCGCAGGCATTTCTATACTACAAGTGCAGACACGCGTTGGTCAGCGCTGGCACCGCCCTTTGAAATTAATGAACTACCAGGCTTCAATCTGCTTCCATTATAATAAATAAATATTTCCGACAGTCACACCAATTAGCCTAGCCCCAAAGTAAGCACTTTAGGGCTTGTGTTATAGAATGCTAGGGTTACGGATAGAATACATATACTGTATACATATAAGTATATTTATATAGAAATACATATTAAACATCCATGACTGG